TTTCCCGAAAGGACATCTTTAGATCACCCCCCCATGTGATCACTACACCCCAAACTCTAAATCCCTAAACCCTAAAACCCTCAAACCCTATCCCTGATCCCTTAACCCTAGACTAGACCCAAAGATTCCAAGCCCCTAAGCCTGAAGGCGGTCCAACAGCGGCATAGCCACCGCTCGCGCGAGGCCGCGCCGGCCGAGGGCGCCCAGGAGGTCCTTATTGGGGGCCCCTACTAACATGGGAACCCGAGACAGGGCAAAAACTATGCAGTGTATATATATATATTTCTATTCATATATGTTTATACAGATCTGTATGCATGTATCTTTGGATCTGCGTAAACAAATAAATGCGGATGTATTTGTATGCATATACCTGTAGACCTCATGTGTATATATATATATATGGGGCATATAGGGATGTATTGTATAGGTTTTAGGGTTTGAGTCAATGGTGTCGGGTACTCAGAAGTATTTGTTTACGTAGGGTTCAAGGAAGCAGTGGTAATAATGCACACTAGCTAGTCGTAGCAAAGATAAGAGACCCATGAAAGCTGCAGATACTAAACATCATCATCATCATCATCATCATCATCGCAACATGGGGTTAAGGCATAATCGAAGGAGCAGAATGAGGAGAATCGTGCTAGCACATCCTGAGCTTGGTTTTTAATCTTAAGAACGAGAAATCTGCAAAATCATCCAGAAAGCGCTCTGAAATCATGCTATCCGGATGTGGCTCCCTGTAGGCCCCGTTACGGCTACCTGCAAGCCTCCAAGCAAGGTTTGTGTGATGATGGAGGCGGTTCCAGTGTGCAAGATACTGGTGAGAACTACAGTACATGAGCCACCCAATGTGAGCTATAGTCTAAACACCTAGTACCCCCCTTAATAACCCCTACCCAGAATAATCTCCTACAACATCCTCTATTTCTACCCCCTTGTCAGGACTTTAGACTATAGCTCATGTGGTAACAAGATTTCGTGTGTGGCCATCCTAAACCTAAGAAACGCCCACACATCAAGCACGAAGCCGAAGCGCCCCCCACCCCTCACCGAAACACCTAGGTACACCCAAAACAAACCCTGCATCATCTTGGGGTAAGGGTTTAAGGGAAGAACCTCCAAGTTGTCAAAGCATCTTAAATGAATGGTTGTGGAGTAATCCCCCCCAATACAACAACCCTCACCACCCCTACTACTAAACACTCCCCTTCTGGGGCCCAACATTTTCGGAGTATTTAATATTCGCCGAGGCATCCAGCCTCAGGGCGTTCAGATCCCTTTAAAAACCCCCTCTACTCCCGCCTGGGCCAAAAACCCGCCATGGTGGGTGGCCTAGTCCAGCCTGACCATCCCGCGTGAAATTTCAGCCTCGCCCAAGGTTCGAGGCTTTGGCGGTACGCGGCGGGCGCATTTTTCGTTCAAAACCGTGTTGGTTTTTTGGTGGACGCCCCGGAGGCCCCTGGAGCCCCCTGGAGGCCCCTGGAGGCCCCTGGAGGCCCCTGGAGGCCCCTGGAGGCACCTGGAGGCCCCCCTAGACGGCCTGGAAGGGCCTGAAAACCCCCACATGCATGGAGTAACATCTACAGACCCTAATATATACTATGGCTTACAATATGTACAATGATGGGTTTCGCGTTTTGGGTACACGTAATTGGGATTTGCGGTGGATTATGACAAGAGCA